CTCTGGCCGCGAGACGCGCGGCTGGAGGTTCAGCTGGTGAGCGGCGTAGCAAATGTCCATGACCAAGCCAATGCAGCGCTCAGCAACCAAATTCTGCTGTGGGGACTCCGGCAGCGTCCAGGACTGTATGATGCCCTGCTCGCCGCAGAATCCGGCAAGAATGCCTGAGCGAAACTCACCCCCACGGTCAGAGTGGAGACAGGAGACACGACGGCCACGAGTGCCCTCAGTGGCTAGAAGCCACCGGATCAGCGTAGAAGTCACCTCGGACTTCTTCGCGAGAGGAAACACCGTGGTGTACCTGGAGAAGTCGTCGACGACCACCAGAAAGTAGCGCTCCCTCTCAGGTCCCTGCGTAGATGCAGGGCCCCAGACATCCAAGTGAAGTTTCTGGAAGGGAGCAGTGGCCGGACGAAGGGAGGAGGAGTGCGGAGTGGCACGAAGACGGCCGGCGACGCAAGGAGTGCACGGCGGTTCAGGCGAGGGAGGGAGCAACGGGAAGACGCGAGGGAGACCTGAAACAAGACGGTGACTAGCCATAGTGCGAAGGCGGGGGATCGACGGGTGGCCAAGACGGTGGTGCCACAAGACGGTCCGGTGGGTGAAAGACCGACACGAGCAAGACGCAGCAACTAGACCGGACACAGCAACCTGACCGGACACAGCGACCTGACCGGACACAGCAACCGGTGGGGACGCAGTAGCCTGTCCGTACTCTGCTACCGGGGGGGACGAAGCAACCTGACCAGACGCAGCTACCTGCGGGGGCGGAGTATGCAGGACAAAGAGACCTAAGTGGGGCTCTCTGGTGAACGTGGCAAGAACTGCCCCGGTGGAAGAGTCCGTACAGATCGCAGTCCTCCCGTGCGCAGGAAAAGTGACTATGATCCCCCGGTCCTGAAGGTATCCAACACCCACCAAGTTCCGAGAGAACAAGGGGATGTAGAGACAAGTGAGGAAACCAGAGGGGACAGCTGGGCACGGGAGAGTGGTCGAGCTGCGAGCAACTGCTGGTCCTGAAGTAGGATCAGCCAGGGCAACTGGGACTGGAGCCGAAAGAGGTGTGACAGTGGTGTGGTCGCGGAAGAAGCACTGAGACGCGCCTGAGTCCAGCGTGAAGGAGAGCGACGCAACAGCAGTCGTCACGGCTGGGCTAGTGACTACACAAGCACCTACACTAAAAGCACAAGTACCGACACTAGCAACAGGCAAAAGTCCTAAGCTAGGTACACGTAAGCCAAGAGATCCGTACGTGACAGAATAAACAGCATCCATAGACATATCAAACACAAGGTAACCACTACGAAACAGACCGGGCCGGATCGGGGGAGCCGACTCAGGCCCAAAACGCTCACGGTAAAGGTCGTCGAGGCGGCTGTAGCAGCGCTGTGCAGAGTGGTCAGGACGCCAGCAGGTAGTGCCAGCACCAGGGCCGGTCAGGATTCGGTACTGGCAGGGGCCGACGTCGCGGCCACCGTGACGAGCCCCTCAGCTGGCTGGGCCGCTGCTGCAGCCAACGCTACCCGAACCACCAGGCCCCCACGGCTGCTGAGGGCGCCACAGCTGCTGAGGGCGGAGTTGCTGCTGAGGGCGCCCCTGCTGCTGCGGAAGCCACTGCTGAAACGGCCGCTGCTGCTGTCCCTGCTGCTGGAGAACCCTAGTGGACTCCATGATAAAAGCTAGCGGGGTGCAGGAGCGGCAGGCTAGAAGCGACAGGAGCTAGGGACGGCTGCAGTGAAAAAAAACGAGAACAACTAGGAGCGCCAGGTGAAGCTAGGCGAGTAGCTGCTGGAGCACGGAGCGAACTAAGCTAGGAGCGCCAGGTGAAACTAGGCGAGGAACGGCTGGAGCACGGAGCAAACTGAGCTAGAAGCGCCAGGTGAAACTAGGCGAGGAACGGCCGGAGCACGGAGCAAACTGAGCTAGGAGCGAGGAGCGAGAACGGCTGGAGCGAGAACGGCTGGAGCTAGAACGGCTGGAGCACAACTGGCTGGAGCTAGAAACGGCGAGCTAGGGCTGGCTGGAGGTAGGAACGGCCGGAGCTAGAGACCGTAAGTGCGGCTGTCGGCTGCCGCTAGTAGAGTCACTCGCAGTGGAAAGTACGTGCGACAGTAGGGGCTGCAGTACTGATGGCTGCGGGATGTAGGCAATTGTGCAGGTCGTCCGGCAAGCAGGAACGCTGGCGACAGTTGCAAGCCCCCCCCCTAAACCCCCTTTTTTTTGGGTTTAATTAATTTATTTATTTTCTTGCGCTAAAGCGCTTCGGGGCGCGCTGCCTGCAGGGTGTGCTGCCTGCGGGGCGCGCTACCCGCGCGGCGCGCTGCCTGCGGGGCTGGGGCGACGGGCCAGGGCGCGGGCTGGGGCGACGGGCTAGGGCGCGGGCTGGGGCGACGGGCTAGGGCGCGGGTTGGGGCGACGGGTTAGGTCGCGGGCTGGGGCGACGGGCCAGGGCGCGGGCTGGGGAGACGGGCTAGGGCGCGGGCTGAGGCGACGGGCCAGGGCGCGGGCTGGGGCGACGGGCTAGGGCGCGGGCTGGGGCGACGGGCTAGGGCGCGGGCCTGGGCGACGGGCTAGGGCGCGGGCCCGGGCGACGGGCTAGGGCGCCGGCCTGAGCGACGGGCTAGGGCGCCGGCCTGAGCGACGGGCTAGGGGCGCGGAGGGCGCTAGGCGCGGAGGTTTGCGACGGCGCGGGCTAGGGGCACGAAGGGCGCTAAGGCGCGCGGGCCGAAAACATGGGCTAGGGGCGCGGAGGGCGCTGACGTGCGGAGGAGGAGGGCGCTAGGGCGCGGAGAGGGCGCGGAGGGCACGGAGGCTAAGGCGCGGAGGGCGCGGAGGGCGCGGAGGTGCGCTAGAGAGGGCGCGGGCTAGGAAGTAACGAGGAACTAACCTACTCGTGATACTATCTCAAAGTAGGAATGCAACGGAATGAATGAACTAGCGAAGTGTTGGATACAAATAGGAAACCCTAGCATCTGTACCCTCTAGAATGCAACTCACTACAGCCTATAACTATTATATTTGACACACTTCTCAAAGTCTCCCGTTTACAACTCAGGCAGACCTGTCAGAAAATATAAGTTTATATTTTCTATATATAACAGCCTGTAGGATTGGTTACTGTAGTTATAGCGTTTTACTGTTTGGTGGTGCACCCTTCCTGTTTCTTCTTGCCTATTTGTACTGCTCGCTCTGTAGTGAACAACCTCTTTTGTTGGCTAAACTCTCTCACGTTCCCAACGTTCCTCTCGCCACTCAAGCTATGCCTCCTAAACTTAACTTCCAAGGTTAAGTACTCTTCTGACAAGACCTACCCTATCCAAATGTCCTACTTCTAACAACTGCGTACATGACTGTTCCCGCCACTGTACACCCAACAGTAGCCCGTTACCACATCGCGACACTCGCCTCGACACTGTTCCCGCCACCACGACTCTCGTGCCCAGACCACTCGGCTCGGCTGGTAACCCGCGACCCGGCTCTAAGCTTCGACATTTCCCCAACCTCGACATCAGGCCCGTTCGCAAGCACGTTACCGTTTCCAAAATGCCTTCGCTATTTAACAATTCGCTCATGCTTTCTCTCATTGTAACGTTTGCTTCGATAGTGCAATCTTCGTTCGTTCACTCGGTTGCACTCGTAACAATGCCCCAGCCATACCTTCTTGATCTGCGCTGCACATCATCCCCTTCCCCCTCTAGGCCCATGCCCCCAACCGAACTCTCATCTTCCCCCAGAAGTCATGAAATGAATCGTTCCCCGCCTAGCCTTGGATTTGCCAGATTATGCGCACACCAGCCTCCTGATCCGCCTGCTCCTCCGAGGTTGTTGTTGAGTCTTGACCCAGCAAACCCTAACCTTCATCACTACTCCATGCCGCTCCGAATTCCCTCGATCTCCGCTGTCACTGGCAGCCACGCTCTTCTCGACGAATTGCGCGATTCGCATGTCAATGTTGCTTGATCCAGGCAAAGCGACTAGTTTCGTCGATTAATGGAGGAAACCTAGGACAATCTTGGAATGCACAGCCATGAGCGGAGCGCACTCTAGCACCACGACGATAGCACCGCAAGGCAGACCTGCCCGTGTTCCTTCCCCATGGGCCTTTCAGATGCATATGCCACCGAGGCTTCTGCTCCCGCGTCGGGCGCCGCTAGTGTCGCGGGTTCCGCAAGCTTCCGCCCCCCTATACGTTCCCAGTCCAATCGGGGACCCAAGGACTCGTCGTCACTCCCTAAAATCCCGATTCAGGCAAAGAAACTCCAATATCAAGCGTTACCGTCGAGTCGCAGCGTCAGTAACACTCCGATCAGCAGCCCGAGGTCGACCAGTCCCACGAAGTTGGCTCTCCCCGCGCGTAGCAGCACCACGGGCTCGCGCGCACAAAAGCCGCAGCAGGGCGGAACGGGGCAAGCGCGCGGAAACAGCAGCTTGCGCCAGTCCGCGGGGAACACCCGGCTGTGGCGCGAAGCATCGGCGGAACGTAGCAAGGAGCAGGCGCGGGATAACGGGGGGGTGGTTGTTCCTGGTCGGAGGGACTCGGCGAGGGCGGATGCGCGAGGAGGGTTCGACGGTGAGGTGAAGTCTGACGAGCGACGGTGGCAGTCGAAGGGGCGTGGTGGTGGTACCGACGAGGAACAAGAATGGGCGGAAGAGGACGAGGAGGACGACGAGGAGGAAGCGGAGGAGGAAGACGAAGGAGAAGAGGAAGAGGCGGAAGAGGGGGAGAGTGCCGAGGATTCAGAGGAGGAAGAGGAAGAAGAGGAAGAGGAGCAGGAGGAACGAGGGGATGAGGACGAGGAGGGGGAGGACGATCGGCGCAAGGGAGGTGCGCGTGGTTCGAGCGAGGATGAATCAGACGAGGAAGAAATCGACGGGGATGCGGCGCAAGGCTGGTCGCAGAGCCAGCAGCACAGGCGGAACGTGTCTCAGCCGAATATTCACGCGTCTCGTAAGTCCTGGGCGCAAACACAGCGCGCGCGAGCGTCTGCGCGCTATCCCAGTCACGCGTCTGTCCTTGAAGAGGACGAGTCCGCGCCCGCTGATTCCGGCGCGCTATCCCAGTCCGCCCGCTCGCCGAGCCCTTCCCCTCCCGCGCGGTCCCCCGCGGGGTCCGCCGCTGCAGCTGCGGCTGCGCGCGCGGGGAGTCCGCGCATGGGCAGCAGCAGCGCGGGGTCGCCTGTTTCGTCCGCGCGGTGGAGCACGCGGAAGAAGCCGTGGACCCCGACGGCGCTGGGGGGAGTAGCGCGGAGCTTCGACAGCAGCTGTTGTAGTAGTAGCAGCGACGAGGGCGACGGAGCAGGGAGGTTGAGTTGTAGAGGTGAGGAAGAGGGGTCTTTCGTGCGTGACGAGGAGGGTGAGGAGAGGATGGGGGAGGAGGAGGAGGAGGACGAGGCGGAGGACAGGGACGAGAGGAAACGAGAGGTCGACGCGCGCGGCTCGAAATCCTTCCGCCGGCTGCGCATCGTGCCTCCGCGTCTCGAGACCCAATCGAACAGGCGCAGAGCGCACGCGGGGGAGCCTGTCTCCCCGCCTTCTGCTCGCTCCTCCGCCTCTGTCCTTGCCTCCGCGCGCCCATCCCCGCGCCCGCTCCTCACCGCGGGCCCCTCGTGCGTCGACCTAGTGGAGCTCCCCCCGCGGGTAGCGCCCAGCCCCGCAAGTTCCGACGCCTCCGCGTCTCGTCGCGCGGGGGATTTCTCCCTCACTGCGGGCGGAAAGGCCGCGGGACGCAGCGCCCACCCGGCCGCGCGCTCGCCTTCGGTTTCCGCGTCGTCGCCCGCAGGCGGGCGCGGTAAAGGGGGCGCGAGGAGTCAAGGGCGCAGGGAAACCGCGCAAGGGGGACGGAGGGGGGACGACAGAGGGGGAAAGGATGGCGCGGGTACAAGCCGCGGGTGGGAGAGAGACGAGGCGGAAGCCGAATCGCCAGTGGACTTCGCGCGGGGTATGGCGGGGGGTGCAGGGCTGGGGGGTAAGGATCGGGGGGGCGGAAAGCGCACGAACGCGGAAGGGTCCGATTACGTGAGCGAGAGTGGGAGCATGAGCGGGGGCGGGAATATGTCGCGTACTGGAAGCGGTGTGAATGGGCTGCTTCTTGGGGTGGGTGCGAGCCCTCGGTTCAGAAGCAGTGCCGCGGCGGGAGCGCAGGGTAATATGTTCAGAATCAATCGCACCAGCAGCGCTTCGAGCAGCGTTTTTGGTGGAGAGCGAGGGGATCGGGGAGAACGGCGAGAGAGAGGAGAGAGGGAAGAGAGGGAAGAGAGAGGGGAGAGGGGAGAGAGGGGCGAGAGGGGAGACAGGGGAGAGAAAGGAGACAGAGAGAGGAGAGGCATGGGGGAAGGGAGTGAGAGAGGAGAAAGAGGAGGAAGAGGAGAGAGATTCTCGAGAGGAGAGAAGGGGGGAAGAGGAGAGAGAGGAGAGCGAGCAGAGAGAGGAGAGAAAGGGGAGAGAGAGAGGAGAGAATGGGGTGAGGGGGCTGAAGGGAGAGAGAGAGGAGAAAGGGGAGAGAGAGGAGAGAGAGGAGAGAGGGGCGAGAGAGGAGAGAGGGGAGAGAAAGGTGAGAGGGACGAGAGAGGAGTGAGGGGCGAGAGAGGGGAGAGAGGGGAGAGAGGAGAAAGGGGAGAGAGAGGAGAGAGGGGCGAGAGAGGAGAGAGAGGAGAGAGAGGAGAGAGAGGAGAGAGTGAACGTAGTACCTTGTCCGGCCCATCGGTTGTCCTTGCAAGCCCTCGCTCAAGAGCCCCTCTGTTTGAAGCTCACCTGGCCAAGTCACATGAAGGGGCGACGGCGGTGGAAGCCAGGCAAATGCAAGCCGCGGCGGGCGGGGCAGGGGGCGCAGGTGCGTTGAGCAGGAGGAAAAGCGGTGGTGCGTGGGCGGATGTTAATCCACGGGCCTCAGGAGGGTCGCGAGGCGAGCGGGAAGCGGAAGGGGCTAGAGATGGGGAGAAGGGAAGAGGGAGAGTGGGTGGGACAAGAAGAGATGTGCAAGGGGTGGGTGGTGGTGGTGACTTAGACGCTACATTGGAATGGACGTTTGAGCAAGACCCGGGTGATGCAGAGGAGGGCTGGGGGCGAGGTGACAGCAGAGGGGACGCGGAGGAAGAGGAAGAGGAGGAAGAGGAAGAGGAGGAAGGGGAGGAAGAGGAAGAGGAGGAAGAGGAGGAGGAAGGGGAGGGCGAAGAAGAGGAGGAAGAGGAAGAGGAGGAAGAGGAAGATGAGGAGGAGGAGGAGGAGGAGGAGGAGGAGGAGGAGGAGGAGGAGGAGGAGGAGGAGGAGGAGGAGGAGGAGGAGGAGGAGGAGGAGGAGGAGGAGAGAGCACGGTATGGAAACGGACTGTCAGATGCGAGGCTGCAAGGCGACCGCGTGGCAGTGAGGGCCAGGGCCGCACGCCACAGCTCTCCCAAAACACGCCGGGCTGCTCTTGCTGCTGCTGCTGCTGCTGCGCCGTCCAAGCCATACGAGGCACCCCCCCGCGCCCTGAAACGCCCTGGGAGAAACGCCACACCAGCAGCAACAGCAGCCGCATCAACATCAACAGTAGCAGCAACAGCAGCAGCAGCGTCAGCAGCAGCGTTGACAGCAGGGTTGAAGCATCGGGCCTCCAGTGGACCCTTCACAGCGTCTGGCGGTGGTGCGCAGATGCAGGCATTCTCAGGACCAATACCACCCGTGGGCGGAGGAAATGAGATGCCTCTCAGCCCCCCCTCACGCCCCGCCTCCAGAATCCCTCACACGTTTCCTGCAGCAGCGGGAGCAGCAGGAGGGTTGGGGCTGGGTGCAGGGACAGGCATGAGTGGCATGAGTAGCTTGAGTGGCATGAGTGGTATTCGCCCTTCGGCCTTGAGTGTACGCCTGCCTGCGAGAATGGCAGCAGAGGTGGCGCGCAGTGACAATGGCAGCGACTGCAGGGAGAGTGAGGGCGAGAGCGACGGGTGCGGCAGCGACGCTTGCAGCAACAGGCTGGCAGATGTGATGAGTAACCGGTTTAGTGAGGATCTGAGTGGGCGGTTGAGTGGCGGGGAGAGCAGTGGGAGCTACAGGGAGGAGCCGTGGAAGGGTGTGGATTGTTGGAGTGACCGGGAGGATGGGGTTGAGAGGGATCGGGATGGGCGAAAGGAGGGTGGGGTGTGGAGTACGGAGGAGGAAGTGAGGAGGAAAGCGCAGATGGATAGAGAGACACGTTCTGATGTTGATACAGAGGATGAGCAGGGGGGTGAGGGGAAGGATGCGGAGGAAAGGGAGGAGGACGAGGAGGAGAGGGTGGGGAGGGGTGCAGAGGGTTATAAGCCGAGAGGGAGGTTGAGGGGTGAGGAGAGAGGCGGACGGGGGCAGCAGAGGCAGAGAGGGGGAGACACGCGACGGGAGGAAAGGTGGGAGGAAACCGCACAAGTATTGCAGTCAGACGGAGAAGCGGAGGAGGAGGGTTGGGGTGATGATGAACACAAGACGCATGGAAGGCACAGGGATCAAGGGAGACAGAGGGATGAGGAGCCTCGGATGGCGACAGGACGGGAGCAGAGGCAGCAGAATTACCAATCAGATGGGGAGAGGCAGAGGGGCGGGGAGCGGCAGAGGAGGGAGGGGAGGCGAGGTAAGGAGGAGAGACGAAGCGGTGAGACGAGGAGTGGCGAGGTGCTTGGGTCTGTGAATTCCTCCGCGCTCCTCCCCCCGATGGTGGCCCAGGCAGGCAGGTCAGTCTCACAGACGAGCAGAGGAGGGAGGGAGGGGGACGGCGGGAGGGCGAGCAGCAGAGGGGCACTGAACGGAGTGCTGCAGCTGCTGCCGACAGGAGCAAGCAAGGGGCGAGAAGACAACCGAGCTGATGCTTACCCCGCTGCCGCCACCCCCGCTGCTGCAAGTAGTGGTGGCAGCGGCAGCGCGGCAGCAGGCGGGGCAGGAGGAGCAGGATCGGGGCTTCGGTCGCCGGGACGGTGGTTTGGGAGTCAGGAGGCGAAGCCGCGGGCTAGCAGCATGCGCGCTGCAGGCGCGGAACGAGTTACGGATGAGCCTCGCAAGGGCGGTAAGAGCCTGGACTTGCGGCGGCTTAGACTGTCGCTGTTTGAGGAGGAGGCGGGGAAGGGGGAGAAGGGGGAGAAGGGCGGCAGTGGGGCGGGCAGAGGGGGGAAAGGGGGAGAGAGTGAGGAGGAAGCGGAGGATGGGAGGGATGGGAGGGGGAGGAGAGGGGGGGATGGAGGGCGTGGAAGTGGGGAGGAGGAGGGGAGGGGGGAGGGAGAGGAGGAGGCGGGAAGGAGGCAAGGGCGAGGGGGGCGAGGGAAGGGGGTGGGTGGAGGGGGGGAAGGCGGGGTAGGAGGAGGGGGGAGGCGAGGGCTGCTTGATGTGTTGAAAGGGCAGCACAAGTCTCCCCGGCGGTCGTCACACCAGGCAGAGGAGAAAGGCTTTGGCTCTGGTTTGCCTGCCACCGCCACGGGTGCTGCTGCTGCTGCTAGTGGTGGTGGTGGGGCCAGCAGCAGTCACAGTGGTGGGTGGTGGGATTCGTCTCGCAGGCAATCCGCATCCACCCCGCGCTCCTCCACAACCACTCCGCGCTCCTCCACCACTCCCCACTCCTCCGGACCCTCCCAAACCACCACACCACGCCCCCCCTCCGCGATCACTCCCACCTCCTCCTCGTCCTCCTCCCCCACTGCGGATGCTGTTCCCGTGGGGGGAGGGGGACACGGAGGCGGAGGGGGAGGCGGGGGAGCGGGGGGAGGGGGACCGGGAGGGGGTCTCTCAGGGGGAGGCAGCGGAGGGCTGGGGGGAGCGGGGAGAGACGCAGGTGCTGCGTGCTGGAGCCCCAGAGACTCCTCCTCTGCTGTTCCCTCTTCCACTTCTGCTTCCACCACCACCTCTTCTGCCTCTGTGCCCCCGCTCATCCTCCCCACACCTGACAAGTCCCGTGGCTGGACCAGAGCGGCATGGGTGAGGGCGTCTAAGAGTGTGGCAGGCGGAGGGGCGTCCCCCACTGGTGGTGCGTCTGCTGGTGCGGGCTCAGCTGGGGGAGGGGTTTCTGGGGGAGGTGCAGGGGTGGGAATGGGTGCGGGTGGTTCTGGTGGGGCAGGTGGCCTGGGGGACGGTGGGAGTGGGAGCAGAAGCGGTGGTTTTTCGTCGAAGAGTGTGCGGGTGGATGGGGGCAGGGAGAGGGAGAGAGAGCGGGAGCGGGAGAGGGAGAGGGAGAGGGAGAGGGAAGAGGAGGGAGACAGGGAGAGGGAGGAGGGGGAGGGCAGAGAGAGCGGGAGGGAGAAGGAAAAGAGCAGGGAGGAGGAATCCAGAAGCAGGTCTCCCTTGCGTTCCCCCCGCGCCGCTAAAAGCCCTTCCGTGCGAACAGCCATCAGCTTTTTCAGCGGGCGGTTTGATAAGTGGGGTGGGGGGGGAGGGTCAGGCGCAGGGGGGTGTGGTGGGGGAGGCGGGAAAGGCGGTGAGGGGAATGAGGGGATTCGGAGGGGTCACACAGCCACAGGCAGCATTATCAGTGCCATGGGGATGCTGGCTGGAGCAGGAGGGGGGGGGCACGCAGATGGGGGTGAGAGGGCAGGGGAGAGAGGTGCGCGGAGTGGGGAACGAGCAGGAGAACGAGGCGGGGAGAGAGGAGGTGAGAAGGGTGGAGAGAGAGGGGGAACGGGGGCAAGCGGAGGAGGTGGGCCGGAGGGAAAAGAGGGCGGAGGGAGCGGGAGCGGGAGCAGCAGCAGCGGCAACCAGTCGCAGGGGGGCGCACCAGCAGGGGTGAGCAGGCTGTGGGGGGTAGCAGCAGGTGCAGCGTCTTTCCACTCACGCATGGTCAGCTTCAGCGGGGTTCTCCTGAAGGACGAGGACCAGGGCATGCTGGGCCGCGGCGTGGGGGATATACGGAAGAAGTATGAAGTGGGGGAGAAGGTGGGGGAGGGGCGCAGCGGCGTGGTGGTGCGCGCGTGCGTGGAGCGCAAGAGCCGGGCGCGGTTCGCGTGCAAGTCGATCGCGAAGACGACGCTGGGGGATGCGAAGAAGGTGGAGGCGCTGCGAGTGGAGGTGGCTGTGATGGAGGCGGTGGGGTCGCATGCTAATATTGTGGCGCTGCATGACACTGTGGAGGATGCTCAGGTGCGTGAAGGGGTGAGAGGTGTGAGAGGCATGAGAGGCATGAGAGGCATGAGAGGCATGAGAGGGGCAGGTGGAGGTGGCTGTGATGGAAGCGGTGGGGTCGCATGCTAACACTGTGGCGCTGCATGACACCGTGGAGGACGCCCAGGTGAGTGCGGGCAGGGGGGAGAAATGGGGGCGGTTGTGGAGATAGCTGCGAGGGTGGGTGGGTGTGCATGGCATGTAGGCATTTCCAGGACGAGCTCGTCATCTGTCATTCTTTCATGTGGTAGTCTAACTGCAGCTTCACAGATGTATACGCTAATGCACCTCTCACCCCGCCCACATGCTGCTTTTCGTCCTTCATTCACCGACTCTCCCCTTTCTCCCTACCTCCCCCCTCCCCTTTCCCCCCTCTCCCTCCCCCACAGGAAGTGCATTTGATAATGGAGCTGCGCGAGGATCGAAACCTCCTCTCCCATGTCAACACCTCTCCCCACCTCTCCTTCCACCACTCTCCTTCCACTCTCTCCCCCTTCCCCTCCCCACTCTCCCCCACCAGGACGTGCATCTGATAATGGAGCTGTGCGAAGGAGGCGATCTGCTATCGCACGTCAACATGGCCCCGCACATCTCAGAGCGCCACGCGGCGGCCATCTGCCGGCGCATCGCGGACGCCGTGCGCTTCTGCCACCGCCGGGGCATCTGCCACCGCGACCTCAAGCCCGAGAACGTGCTGCTCGCCACCAAGGGGGCTGCCGGGGCTGATCTGCGCGTTGCTGATTTTGGCATCTCCACCTTCATTGAGCCAGGTGCGGGGGGGAAGGGGTGGAAGGGGGAGAGGAGGGGGAGGGGGTGAGGATTGGGAGTGTTGTGAAATTGCATGTGGGGGGGGGGAGGGGGGAAGGGGGGGGTGTTAATGTTTTTATTTCTGTTGTGAGTTTCTAAAAGTGAGGCAGATGCGTGAGGGTTTTCAAGGATGATTTGGAATTGCGAGTGGCGGGTTTGTCTGCTTGTCTGTTTGGCATCCCGAATCTTCCCTCCTCTCCTCTCCTCTCCCCAGGGCCCGATTTCCTGAGCTGTGCTGCTGAATTGTGTATGTGCTGCGTGCTGTCTCTCCTCCCACCTTTCCTCCCCCGTCCCCACCCTCCATTCCGTTATTCCCTCTCTCCCCCCCTCTCCCCACCGAGCCACACCCACCTACTAACTGCTCCCACACCCCTGTACCCCTTTCCGCACCACCGCAGGCCAGCGCATCCGCGGGTACGCAGGCAGCCCGTTCTACATCGCGCCAGAGGTGCTCAACGGGCGGTATGGCTTTGAAGTGGACGTGTGGAGCCTGGGCGTCATCCTCTACACGCTCCTCTCGCAGCGCCTGCCCTTCTGGCACAGCACGGACATTGGCGTGTACAGAGCGATCCTGAAGGGGCATGTGGATACGCACACGGGCGCGTGGCTGCATGTGAGCAAGGACGCTGTGCATCTCGTGCGCCGCATGCTGTGCCAAGACCCTGCAGAGAGAATCACCCTCGACCAGCTGCTAGGTACTTCTTTCTTTCTTCCTTTTCTTTCTTCCCACCAGCGTCCTCCTCTCCCCCTCCTTCTCTCCCCACACTCTTCTTCTTCCGTTTCTGGTCCTCGTGTTATGCCTGCCAATCTCAGCATCTCTCTGTAGAATCTGAAGCCTTCAGAGCCCCACTAGATTCCATTACACCTTTTCCCCGCGGCCCCTTCCCCGTTCTCCACCCATCACTCCCGCCCCCACCTTGCCCCAACCCGGCAGAGCATCCGTGGATTCTCAAGCACGACCGTGACACCTCGCCTCTACCGCAGCCCCTACCAGAGCTGCCCAACTGGAAGCTCAGCAAGCGGCGCCGTGCCATCGCTCGCTCCACAGCCATCGTCGTGCCGTCCTTCCGCCTGCCCTTCTGCATCACTCCCCCGGACGGCGCTGTTTCCAGTGAGACGGAGCCGGACACAGAGACAGAGAGCGAGCCGGAGAGAGTTGCCGGTGGTTACATCCTTGGTTACACTTCCACTGGTGCTGCTGCTGCTGCTGGTGGTGCTGGTGGTGCTGGTGGTAGCAGTAAAGGTGGTGTTGCTAGTAGCAAGTCAGTCACCGGCACTGCTGTTGCCTCTGGGATGGCAATCGGGAGACGAGGCGGTGGGAGTGGTCCCCTGCTCCCCACCACCACCTCCTCCTCCTCCTCTCTCTCGTCTCGCAATGTCCCACTCACCTCTCTCATCACGCCGCTCTCTCCGTCTCAAGCCTCCCCATCATCAGCAGTGCTCATCCCACCCTCCCTCTCAGCTCTCTCCACCAGCTCCAATCGCCGAACCTTGCCACGATACCGCACAGCAACTGACAAGTACTAACTCCCTTCTTACCAACCTCTCCTCCTGACCTCAGTCCTCCTTAACGATCCCATACCTCCTCCCAGTCGTCCCAGCCTAGGCTCGCATTCCTCCTATTCCTCCCATCCCCCAATCTGCCCATTTCTCCCATGATCTCACCATCCCTCGGAAGACATGGGATGGTCTACACGGTTGCGTGATTTAGGCACACTGCAGTGCATGCAGCCTTTGCCTTGCCTCCTCCCGTCACTACTGCATAGGGGTGTACTGATCATCAACGTTATCAGCATCTGCTACAACTTGCAGCAACGACCATACCACACCATCCGACACAGCACCCTCGGAACTTCCGGTAGCGTCTAGCTAGCTCTGACACCAACCATGTCAGCCGACAGGCACGGTCCAGCTGTGCAACGCTATAACCTGCAACAAACAACGATTCTATCTATGGAACCCCCCTCAAAAGCTTGTTTGGCTTCTCGTTGTACAAAGGACACTTTACCGTACTAAATGTGCCGGCGCTACCAGTGCATGTGCATGTGCTACCATTATGAAATAGAAAAATACTGTGTTTAGACAAGGCACTTTTTATCTAGGGATGTTTAATAGTTGTCCTCCTCCCAGGACCTCAGATTCACCCTGTCTATGTTAATTCATCCTTGTTTCAGCCCTTACCACTTTTGTACTAAGGCTGATTATCAACAGAAAGCGTAGGCGATTTTCTCTTAGAGCGTATTCCTACGGCCTCCTATCAAGGCCACCTCTGTCAAGAACGGAAATTATGATTTCACTAAGGTTGGTTGAGGTGTTAGAATAAGCAGGCAAGAACGGTGGACTAGGTAGGCTAACCCACTATAGCCTAGAGATAACACAAACATGCAGTTTGACATGAGGTACATAAACCTAACCCTAACTGTTGTACCCCAGATGACACACATCACTAAGACTATAACATCTGACACACCCCCATAGTCCAAGTGAGGGGTGTCAAGCAAAACCAAGAACGTACGGTCACAAGACCAGTCACAAAGCAACAAAGCTCAGGGTGGATCACAATGTCACCATATACTCTGAGCACAAGAAAAAAAGCCACAAGGCCAGTTCAAGAGTTCACAGAGGTATATATAAGCGTACAAACAAAGCAAGCAGAGAACTCAAGACTACGCAAGGCGAGAATGTGAGAGTACGACGGCTTTGCTGGACTCTACTCGCTTGATTCTGCTTTATTATGCATTATCTAGCTTATCTTAATTTTATCTTGCATGCTTTTGCTTGATTTCCTAGTTTCGTTGCTGAACTATAGTTATTATAATTACAGGCACCGAACTAGGTTGTGTTGAAAACATATTTTTATATAAGCTGGCCTTTGCATTAACTGTAGTGTAGGTTCATATTTTGTTGGTGGTGCACCCCTAGCTCTTGCCTATATGTACTGTTGTTTCTATGGTGCAACCCCTTCTCTTTTGGCCAACTCCTCGCTATTCTCCTTCAACCCTAAACCTAAGTTCCTAAGCTTCTAAAGCCATGGCTCCTAAGCCTAACTTACTCTAGCTTCTTGACATGCTATCAGAGCAGGTCCCTTCTAGGACCTACCTCATTGGGCCCACCATTAGCTTCCGCTCATGCGCCCTTCTGCCCGTCGCGCGCCCCGGGCGCGCGTCGGTTTCCTGCCCGTCGCGCGCCCCGAGCGTGCGGCGGTTTCTGCCCGTCGTGCGCCCCGAGCGCGTGGCGGTTTCTGCCCGTCGTGCGCCCCGAGCGCGCGGCGGTTTCTGCCCGTCGCGCGCCTCTGGCGCGCGTCGATTTCTGCCAGCCGCACGCCCCGCGCGCTCTGCTGCCCTACGCGCCCCGGCGCGCCCTGCTGCGGTGCGCGTGCCAGCTCCTTCACTGCACGCGCATCTGCAGCCGCGGAGCAGCCCCTACCCTCCCCCCCCCCCCCCCCCCCCCCCCCCCCCTCATGCAGCAGGGGGAGGGGGGGAGGGTTTGGGGATGGCGGATATGAGTAACCATCCACCCCTCCTCCTCTCTCTCTCACTGCTGCACATGCCGCTGTGGGGTGGGGGAGGGTGTGGGGGAGACGAGGGAGTGGCGGTAGGGATGCCGAGGGTGTGAAGGGGGGTTTTGGGAAAATGGGGGAGGTTGAAGGGGGGTGGCCGCCACGAAGCCAGCAGCTTCAGTTGCCAGTGAGCCCGTTGCTCCAGTCGCCCGTGAGCCCGTTGTTCCTGTCGCCCATGAGTCAGTTGCTCCAGCCGCTCGTCTAGCCGCAGAGCCAGTTACTCCAGTTGCCACCGAATTCTAGGCTTTTCGGTTGCCACCGAATTGCCTTCTACTGAATTCGGGAAGGACCCATTCGGGACGCTTCGCGACCCGCGGAACCTTCTAGTAACATTCGGGTTACTGCATTTGTGTCGAGCCTATATATAGCCTCGCCTTGTACCTAGGTGAATCAATAAATATATTTCTTTTTCCTGAACCAGATCCCCACACTTGGTAATCAGAGCGGGTTTACACGCGAGGTCTTCAACCGCTTAAAACCGGCCTTTAAAAACTGCGGGGGCGACGACGAAAGCGCCGATACGGGTATGTAAAACCAGTTCCGCGCAATTTTTCTAAGTCCCCCTCGATCCAGTTTTCGAACACCCCTCAAGATTATTGGCAAAAAAGTTGGAATTTCGACCGTCAGATCGATTCGAATCTCGCGCTCGTCGATTCTACATTCAATTCGACTCGCAGTAAGTCGACCAGCACCTAGAATTTATTTATTTTTGTCGCACATCTTCCTGCAAATCGCCAAATGGAGGGAAATAGAGATAATTTCGAACGGGAAATCGCGGAGTTACGAGCCGAGCATGAGCAGATACGTGCGGCGCTCCTACGACTCGAAAAACTCCTTGCGAACCAGTCAGCAACCGCCACAGCAGCAGCGAATGCAGCAGCGACAGCAGCAGCAGCAACAGCAGCGACGACACCGACAATTGTACCTGCAACAACGGCAGCGGCTACAGTTAACCTCGAAGCAGTGAAGCCGAGGCTACCAGAGGCGTTCGATCCTATAGCTAAAGGGAGCAACGTTCGTCGATTCGTAGCTGAACTCGAAATTTACTTCGAAGCCGTTGGATGCACGACCCCCACCCAAGACGCGATGCGCATACGGCTCGCAGCAACACTGTTACATGGCCCAGCTCTAGAGTGGATCAACAACAAATTTGTCCAAGGCGAAGGGACGCGGACGCAGTTTCGGCCAGCACTGATCGAACAGTTCGACGCGCTGAACAGTAGCTACTACGGAACACGACGCAACAAGCCAAATAGTGGCATGGAGTGATCGGCACCACCCACGACTGCCGACCCGATGGAGAACGACAAGGACGATGCGACGCAGCGGCTAGCAAACAATGAGACGTGCAAATTTTGTGGCGCTACAGGACATCGTGTCTTGGCGTGTTGGAAAATGAAGAAAAGACATGCGGAGCTGAAGGGCAAGAACAGTGCGGCACCCCCGAAGCAGAAAACGGACAATGTGGCAACTTCGGAGAGGGCGAAAAAAGGAGAATATGATGGCGCAAATTTAAAACGTCACGACCAGCCGGCACCAGGGGAAATCGCCGAGACAAAAGGAGACTCCGCGAAATAAGACCCTGCACCGACTGGGAAACTCCAGCCGTACACCCCGACAAGTAAGAATATTACTTCTCGTGGTTTTCAAGCCTTTATTAAGGGAGAATCAGAAATTAAACCGATACCGGGTAATATGGGGACCCTACTCCGGAGCGTTGATAATGGTCGAGCGTTCCGATGAGTTAATATTCTCTCCCAGCGGCGCTGTTTAAAGGCTCCCCGGCATTCCCCACAGGTGAAGCCTACACAGCTACAAAGGCTTAGGGGAAGGTTCCAGGCACAGGAGAAGCTGTACCAGATAAATCCTTCTAACCCTACTCAGGTGAAACCTGATATTGAGTCAGCACCTTCGAGCGCAGGACCTAAGGACGATATATTTGATGTACCCTATGATTCTGTAACCAAGACCATCTACAGCTACTCGGAGCAGCAGCAGCCACTACTTCTCGAGGTGATCTGCAACGGGCGACGCCTCCAGGCACTAGTGGACAGTGGTGCGTCCCACTCGGTGTGCGACCGCGGGACGTTGGAGAAAATTGGAGAATCCTCAGAGGAGACCCAGTTTACAGCAACGATGATGGACGGTACGAAGCTTCCCATCCACGGCGAGACAACATTGCAGCTGTAGATAGGGGCATTGAGGTGGAAGCCGACGTTGCCGATCACGAACATCAAGGGATTAGGTTTCATATTGGGGCGTAATTTTCTGAAGCGATTCAACCCAGAGATTGACTGGGTCAACCGGAAGGCGTGCATCTACAACAACGGGAAACGTGTGGAGCTGCGAAGCTGGAAGGATACAGGGGATGTTCCTGAAACGACACTTGCACGGTTCGAACGAACAGTGAATGAGAGTAACACGGGTTTCTTAGCACTGGTGATGGCAGCAGCAGAGGAGGAGAAGCCGAACTCGGAGCTACCTACAGCAGTACAGGAGGTGTTGGAGCAGTACAAAGATATCATGCCAGACGACCTGCCTGCAGGAGTACCTCCAGCGCGAACCCACGAGCACGAGATCGTGGAGGAACCAGGTGCGAAACCCGTTTCACGTGCACCATACCGCCTTAGTCCGACCGAACTGACAGACATGAAGAAACAGATTGAGTACCTACTGGACAGACAACTGATCCGCCCATCCACCTCTCCCTACGGTGCACCAGTTCTCTTCACTCCAAAGCTAGACGGTAGTTTACGGATGTGCATCGACTACCGGGAACTGAACAAACAGACAATCAAGAACAAATACCCCATACCGCGCATAGACGATCTTCTAGACCAACTGCGTGGTGCAACAGTCTTTTTGAAGCTGGACCTACGGTCGGGTCACTGGCAGATCAAGATGGCAGACAACTCGATCCACAAGACGGCGTTCCGTACCAGATACGGCTCCTACCAGTACTTAGTAA